TCAATTGAGCCCTCGTACTTTGAAAACCTTCAATTGAATCCGCCAAGTCTCCAAAATCAATCAATTAGGGCTACATCACCGGCTGGTTCCCAGTTTGCCCGTTGCTTGCCTTCCTGGCGTCGACGTGGAATTTGGCTATCGGTCTTTCAGTGCTGACTCAGTTAAAAGACTCAGTTAAATCATTTAACGTACCCTATCCACCCCCAATGAACACCACCGTGCCCTAACCTTCCTTCCCGACCTCAATTCGGAGCTCTACGAGAAGATAAGCAACATAGCACTCCTCGGCGCTGGTCATTCATTTGTCACCGTCGAAGTGAAGAAGACAAACATCGGGTTAGTTTATACTTGTAACTCTACCGTATGTACATGAGGTTGGTGATTTGTGTTCGTTGATGTCGCATGAATTTTGCTATTGTCATGATATTATTACGTGGCTGAGAATCCATCAATGGGTGCAATGGAATTGAAAAATCTGATCAAGGCAGAGTACAAAATCAATGTGTCTGAAAGCATGGCCAACAGAGCTTTGAAAGCTATTGAAGAGAAAAACCAAACTGCTTTCAAAGACCAATTCAAAAAGATCAGGAACTATGCAGAGGAATGTCTTCAGTCAATACCTAATAGTACAGTTGTCATCAAAACTGTGAGAGTTGTCCCGGAACCAAATGTATTCCAACACATTTATGTCTGCTTTGGGCCAGTGAAGAAGGGTTTTATAGAAGGGTGTAGGAAGATCATTGGTGTAGATGGATGTTTTTTAAAAGGACAAATGAAGGGAGAGATATCGAGTGCTGTAGGTAGAGATGCAAATAACCAAATGTATCCAATCGCATGGGCTGTGGTTGAGATAGAAAATACCTCATCTTGGACTTGGTTCCTGGAGTTGCTGCATAATGACTTGGATGTTACTGCCCCAGATGAGTGGATCTTCATCAGTGATCAACAGAAGGTTAAGTATCTTCATAAGTGCTTACATGTTGTTCATTAATGTATATGATATGAACTTTCATCCTCTATATGTTCCACATAAGTGGTTAATATATTTTTTTGTAGGGCCTGGCTAATGCCATTACCAGAGTCTTCCCTAAATCTGAGCACGGGAATTGTGCACGCCATATTCATGGTAATTGGAGCAAAGCACATCGAGGGATGAATCTGAATAAGTTGTTTTGGCAGTGTGCCAAGTCAACATGTGAACCTCAGTTGGAAGCTAATTTAGCTGAGCTGGATAAGGCTGATGGTCAAGCAGGTATTGACTTACGCAAATACCCATTCAAGTTATGGTGTAAAGCTTTCTTTAAGGATGCAGTGAAGTGTGACACAGTTGAGAACAACCTTTCTAAGGCCTTCAATAGCACACTTCTAAAAGCAAGATCCAAGCCTCTGATCCCAATGCTTGAGGACATTCGTGTTGCAACAATGAAAAGGATAACCAAGAAGAGAAAATATGTTCTGAAGTGGCCAGGTCTGGTTAGACAGTAATATGTACTATTGATTATTCTATTTGATAATCAAATCTTATTAAGCATTTTTGTTTTCCAAATCTTATGCAGGTGAATTTGGTCCAATAATAATGAAGAAGCTGAATACTAATATTCTAGCAAGTCAAGGATGGAATGTGGATTTCAATGGTGATGATGGATATGAAATCAAGAAAGGAAGATGCCAATTCAAAGTCAGTCTTAAGAAGAGATCATGTTCTTGTAGAAGGTGGGATCTCAGTGGTATCCCTTGTGCCCATGCCATTTGTGCCATCTATGACAAGGGGGAGGAGACAGAAGCATATGTTGACCACTGTTACAGTAAGCAGATGTATCAGAAAACTTACTCCTACACATTGCATCCTATCAATGGGGAGCTGTTATGGCCTAGAACCCAGCATGAAGAGATCTTACCTCCTTTGCCGAAAAAGATGTGTGGCAGACCCAAAAAGAAGCGTGTAAGGGAACAAAGTGAAGCACGTCCACCAAGTTCTTCACAGCTCTCAAGAAAAGGGCGCATCATGACTTGCTCATTGTGCGGAGGAGAAGGCCACAACAAGAAATCATGTAATACCAAACATGCTTCTGAAATGACACCAACGCCTACACCTTCTACTACTGCAAGGGCAGGTACAGTGACTCTAAGTGCAAGAGGCAGACGCCCAAGAGGAGGAAGAGGGAAGAGGGAGGGCAATACAAGCAGAAGGCAATCAGGGTTTGGTGTGTATTTCGATGAAGCTACTGGTGAAACCATTCTGGAAGTAAGTTCACACCTGACTTGTATGTTTAAGTCATTTCAATTTGTGGCAATGATATTTTCTCATTTTGCTGTGTATGTTATATGCAGCCTAGCCAGCCTGGAGAGACAGTGATTGGAGAACAATAGGATGGATTGCTTTAATGAACATTTATGGAAGTAGTTTTTTGTCATTAGGTGGATGTAATGATAATGTACTATATTGGGATTGATTTGGTGTATGGATGTAGGGCCGAAGGTGTGGGTTGAGGTTCAAACTACCTTTTTTTGTGATGACCATTGCTGGGGTCATTTATTGCATTATTGTAGTTGAACGGGTACTATGCATTATTGGTGAAGAAAGATTGCTTTTGAATTATTTCATGGGTGCACTACATTATTGGCAGTAATATATGTCAGTTCTTGAATTTCATGGGTGTACTACACCTTATTGTCCATACTTGAGTGTCAGTTGTATATGAAATAATAGATGACGTTATCTTTCTGGTTTTAAGTGTATATTTTGAAGTTTTATTACTACACATATTCTAAGTGTATACAGGTATATGAAATGCCACACAACATACACAATGAATACATTCCAGGAATCCAGGTTCTTGACAATACAAAAGTACCTAAAATGAAAACTTGTAGTGAACTTGTTCAAACATAGATACCATATGACACTACATTCCACTTTCTATGACAAGAAACTGACGGTGAACTTTTTCAAACATAGATACCATTACATCCAACACAATTCAACTATGATAGCCTGAATACATATTTGCTGCAAAGCACATAAATACAACCAACCCTATGACAACGAGCATCCTGCACCTCTTTATGGCCTTAACCTCATTCTCAAGAACGATTTTTATACTGGTTACATCTGCTTGAACATGGCTTAAGCGTTGGACAGCACCTTCAACCATGGTCTTTACTTCATCAAACTTATCTCTCTTCTGCCCAGGCCTGATCATATCTTCTCTTCCTATGTCATCCTTCCACAAGAAGTAGCCGCATCCTTCTCCCTGTAGACAATACGAACACATATTTTCAATTACACAAACTGGGAAAATGATACCTATTATCACACGAACAGGTTCTTCAAAATCAAAATCACTACCAATACAAGATTTGTTCAAAACATAACCTTCACACCCTACAGAATTATATATGCACATCAAATGAAAAAAAGTAAATTCTTTCGACGTTTTACCAGCCAATTTTGACACCCATAGAATTGTCTTCCGCTCTCCCTTCCCACGCACAGCGGCGCTTTCAATCCACACCAACAATACACTGCAGGCTCGTAATTTGTAGTGCTTCTTCGCTCTTTTGTACTCATTGCTGTAGACGAGGAGACCATTGTTGGTCACGAGGTCAAGCTTTCCAACGGGAAGAAAAATGATGTACAGTGTAAGGTCGGGAAGGAAGGTTAGGGCACGGTGGTGTTAATTGGGGGTGGATAGGGTAAGTTAAATGATTTAACTGAGTCTTTTAACTGAGTCTTTTAACTAAGTCAGTACTGAAAGACCGATAGGCAAATTCCACGTCAGCGCCAGGAAAGCAAGCAACGGGCAAACCGGGAACCAGCCGGTGATGTAGCCCTAATTGATTGATTTTGGAGACTTGGCGGATTCAATTGAAGGTTTTCAAAGTACGATGGCTCAATTGAGGATTTGCCCATAATGCCCATGTATTTGTTATTCAACACATGCAATGGTAGCTCTTTTAATTCTGCCTTTTTTTGCATTATACTATCGTATATCATGAAAAAGTTTTCATAATATATGATCTATTTGGGGATTGATACTAGTTAAAAAACCTACCCCGTATATCTTTTTAATCTTGGGCATAAATGATTGTGCATGTACACCTTTTGGTAGGGGTGGGCAAAATAACCGAACCGGCATGGTACCGAACTGGACCGGTATGGTACCGGATCGGAAAACGAGATTTCAAATGGTTCTAAAAAATTTTGTCCCGAACCGGACCGGACCGATTCCATACCATGTCATGACCGGACCGAACCGAACTGAATTATAATTTTATTAATTTATATAATTTTATAATTATATATACATGTATACCATATTACCATTACTTTGATTACTCATTTGGTAATTGTTAGTTATTTATGTTTTAATTTGTACTATTATAGTTTATAAGAAATTCATTAACTATGTAATACTACCTCTGTCCCAAAAAACTTTTTCATTTTCAAAACTTTGACCAATTATATTTTTTATTGAGAATTATTTATAATATAAAAATTATACGAAAATGTTCTTTGTTAAAAATACTTTCGTAAAAGTATAAAATTTATAACTTCCATAATACTACTAATCAAAATCATGGTTCAAAATTTTTGAAATGACAGTTTTTTAGGACGGAGTTAGTATGAAAATTGATAATTGTGTGGATTTTTGGATGATGACTAAGTTTTAATTTATCGAAAAAAGTGGCATTGTTTGACATTGGTATGACATGGTACCGGACCGTTTGAAAATGGAACCGAACCGAACGGGTTTAGGTCTAAGACCGAACCGAACCGAATCGTTTCAATAGTAACTGTCCAGGTACGAGTTCGGTAAAATATTGGACCGGACCGGACTTTCTATCATTTTCTAGATGCAAAAGTGCAAACTGCCGAACCAAAACGATAAACCCTAGAATAAAAATTTACCATTTTGGAATTCATCTTGTTTTGCAGAGACCCATTTTGAATGCTTAAACCCTGCAATTAAACTAGACCCCCCCCCCCCCCCCCCTCCCCCCCCTGAAATAAGCGAACACCGATTCTACTTGCAAAAATGGAGGAAACAAACATGGAGGATGCCGAGCAAAACCGGGAAACGGAGGTCGCCCCGGCTCTTATAGCAATTCACCCGACTCAAGAATCCGTTGCCGTGTCCGTTGGCTCAGACCTTCGCGTCTTCAATATTCGGTAAAACACATTCTTTCTAACCGTAAGAAGGCAAGGAAACGTTACACTAAAAATCATTTTTTCTACTCTTAAAGAGAGTGTGATAAATGGAATTTGGAGAAAAACGAACCCGCTTTTACAGTTAATTCGTATCTTTTACTCAATAATTTCCGACAGAGGCCATTCAGAATCATTGTTGGATAATTCTGCGGGGGACGTGCATAAGGATTCAATCAGAGCGATCCGATATGGAGCAGAGGGGAAGCTATTTGTATCTGCAGGTGATGACAAGCTTGTTAAAATCTGGGTTACTGATTCGTGGAAATGTACACATACTATGTAAGCTTCTAGTGCTTTACTAGTCTTTAGTTCATGCAGGTTATTCATAAACGCCTAAGATTTAACTTTAAACTGAAAAATCCTTAATTGGACTTTACCCAAGCGTATAGGTGTTAGCCTTGATGCCTTTTCATATAATTGAAGTTTTTAGCTATTGAGTTTTAACTTGCTTGATGAAATTCATTTTTATACAGCTCGTAGTAATGGATCATTGTGTAGCTTTTGAGCTCTGAAGTGCATGTTTAGCCTTTGATAGGGTGGAAATTGAATTTTTTATGCATAAACAACAGTAAATTCGAAAATGAATTTGTGTTTCTTATTCTCTCCTCACGGGTGATATGTTCCTAATTGAATTCCTAACTTGAATTAAACATATCATAGAAAATATGTTGCTTCTTGTATAGTAGGATAATTTCATTAATTTGTATGTCTTCATCTTTCTGCTACGAACAGTTTGTCCGAGAAAAGAGTCAGTGCTGTTGCCATAAGCAAGGATGGTTGCTTGGTATGCTTTGCAGACAAGTTCGGAGTGGTTTATGCAACAAATTTAGAATTTTTTCAAGAAAAGAAGGAAGATATTCTCAACAAGAAGCCAGTTCCAATTCTTTCCCATTATTGCAGCATTGTTACTAGCCTGGTATTGTTTTTGTTTCTTTCCTGCTCTTGACAAAATGTATTTTGCTTCGTTTATACGAGGGTTTTTATTTTTAATTTTTTTGGGGGATTATTATACTGATGTTTTTTTCAAAAAATGTTTCTCCAAGCAGGAGTTTTCACCAGATGGGCGGTTTATCGTTAGTGCTGACCGAGACTACAAAATCCGTGTAGGGAAACTTTCACTACTTATTATGCTTCTGATTTTTTTTTCTTTTGTATTTTCTGAATGTCTCTTATATTAAAAATATAGGTTACTGTATTTCCTCAAAACCCTTTAAATGGAGCTCATGAGATCCAGAGCTTTTGCCTTGGCCATACCGAGTGAGTATCTCTCTTTAAGTGCATTTTTATACTGCAATCTCCTAAGGTTATGTTTGGATTGTTTGGGTTTTAGTTGGTGGAAGTGGGTTATTTTAAATCTTGATAAAAATATCAACAGAGCATATGTAAAAATGAATATTGATAAACATATTCTATTATCAGTTATCAGATGTTACATTATTCCTTCAGTTTTACAAAATCTCGAATACATTTCAAGATATACACTCAGCTAACTTCAAACTGACCATAAATGATGGTAATTAATTATCAGCTAATAATAAGAACTGTGGCTACTATACATTGCTCATCGTTTGATCTTCTTTATCGACAGGTTTGTCTCCTGCCTTACCTTTGTTTGCAATCAGGAATTTGCACAAGGCTTTTTAGTTTCTGGGGGTGGTGATTCTTCAGTGAGTGAAAATGTTAAATCTGATACGTTGAATGTATTGATGGCCTGTTACTTTAGGTTTATTTGACTGAAATTGGTTGCTGAATTTTCCGGTTGGAAAAGCGTATTGTAACATCCATTTGAGCCAAACAAATCAATTGTTACTTATCCAGCTGATTAGTACAATAAGCAGTCTAAGCGTATCATACCAAACTGAGCCTAATTTGTATCCGGTTAACTAGTATATCTCACAAACATGCCTCTGTACATTTTTCAGGTTCGCCTGTGGGACTATCTTTCTGGCTCTCTTCTAGACACATGCCTTGTTGGAGCACAGGTAACTTTTCTTTCCTAGTGCCACCTAATTAATATTAGGGTCTGCTTGGTAAGGATTATTTGGCCAGAATGGGTAAATTTGCTGAACAAATTAACAGTGTTAATGTAACATCCATTTCAGCCAACAAATTAAGTCATAAGGTACTTATTCAGTTGGTAAGAAAAGCAATTTAAAAAAGTACAACTGCCAAACAGAGCCTTAGTTCTCACCCCTTCTTTACTCGTCCATGTATAACTTAAGGCAGGAGTTGCACAGTCAAATGGAAGTGAAGAAGATTTTGTTCCCGCAATCACTGATATATGTGCCACTCCAGACGGATCATTAATTGCAGTAGCTGTACAGAGGTAGTAAAAGCATCTTAACGTCAATACCCCCAAGTCCCGTTTGGTAATTATGTATTGGTCTTTGATCACAATGCAGCTTCCCGGGGGTGATGCTAATGACCTGTGAGCTTTCTACAAGAAATCTCTCTGTTTTCAAAGTATTCATCCAATCCCTGCTCGCCATTCATGCTCATCTCTCCAAACATTATACTTCGTATAACTTTTTTGTTTTCTATTTGCAGGTGGTCCCAGTTGTTGGTCCAGAGACTTTTATTCCGACAAGCTTGGGGGCTGCTACCATGTCAGCAGATCTATTATGGCTGGTCATGGGTGTCTCTGGTCTGAATGCTGAGTCAGCAGGAGGATCATTGGTCCGTGTGAGGGTTCTGTCTGGTTTCAGGAAGAGAGCTGATAAAGAAACATTATTTCTTGACGATAAAGATGTGCCAGGGGGTGAAGAAACCATTGAAAAACTGCAAGGGGGCCTGTGCATCAAAACAGAGGCCTTCGTAGCAGCGGCGGAAGCAGTCAAGACAGCAATGAGAAATCTTTTCATCAAGAAGCAATATTCTGCAGACAGACGGGAGTTCAGGAAGAGGGGCAGAAATGACAGAAAAGGAATGAAGTGATATCCCCATTTGTTTATTTATATATGTAAAGCAGGGAAGGCTGCTGGTTTTGAAGTTGTTTCGCGGTCTTCTCATGATGCTGTTGTAAAACTAGTTGATAGTGAAATAGTGTGTTTGATTTTCTTGATTTTGCCTTATAATGAAGGCATTGAGTGAGACACTAGACTATTCTTATCCATGAATCTATTATACTAGCACGGACTTGTCTCTGTTCTTATTAATCCCCACTTTATTCTTATCTCTAATAGTTCAACTAATGTCGAAATGTTTTCGACATTTATTCAAAACAATATTGGAAAGCAGTGATTTCTAAATTCTAATACAGTAATACTACGTATTATTCATTTTAAGACGAAAGGAATATTTAGATCAATTATCAAGAAGTGATTTCGTGAGGAAAATAAAGAAGTGGACGAATGGAAATCAATCCCAAATAGTATTAAAGCTGACGATCTTTAATGCATATTCTATTATTCAATGAGGCCCTGTTTGGTTGGAGGGTTTCGGAGGGGAGGGGAAGAAAGTGGAGGATTTGTGTGTATTTGATTGAAGGAAATAGGAGGAAGGCGAGGAAAGTGAAAGACTTTCAAAATCCTCCACTTCCTCCTATTCTAAACCCTCAAATGGAGGTATTTCGGAGGAAACGTGTTGATAACCACAAACTATTCATCTCCCACGTGAATGAACAAAACGTTATAATATAAAAACGTAAAAAACAAAAAGTTTTGAAAAATTTAAAAATTTAAAAATTTAAAAAATTTAAAAATTAAAAAATTTAAAAATTAAAAAATTAAAAATGTTAAAAATTAAAAAATTTAAAATTCAAAAAATTATAAATTAAAATTTTAAAAATTAAAATTAAAAAAAATTAAAAATTCCAAACTAAAAATGAAAAATTATAAAATAAAAAGTAAAAAATAAAATAAAATTATGACTCATAACCATAGGAGTAATATTCATAATAGTTAGACATGTATCTATTTTTTAAGTAAGCTATCAAATAAAAGTAAATTGAAAAAATATTTTCATTAAACCTTGCCTCCTATTTCCTCCAACCAAACACAAATTTTTATCAAAATCATTCCTTCCCATTCTCTTCCCTTCCCTCCTTGACTCTCCCCTTCCCTCACCCCCTTTGAATCAAATAAGGCCTTAAAGTTGACGATTTTTTTGATATCATTCTCGCTAGTTGGCAGTTGGCAGTTTACTTGTATCGAATTCAACTTACTTTGTGTAAGTTCTTAATTTCAACAAAAAAATGAAAAACAGTTAACACCTGAAATCCGCATTTGAGAAAACCTTTCTAATTGAAAAACTCTCTCTAGGCCACTATCCCAATTTAAACTTCTCTCACTTTCCTTTTTGAACGTTTCTGTGAAAGTTTCACATTTAAATTAAAAAGAATAATCAGCACTCTTAAGAGATACACTTATAATATCACATTCATCATCAGTAACCTCATTATGTTATGCACATATCAAAATTACTTACAAAAATATACTAGAGTTAACTTTTTTAATTATTGTCGAAATAACTATGTCATTTTTCCATAAAAAATTCTAAGACCAAAATTGCATTTCAAGTGGATGTTTGACTTTGGTGTTTTTCTTCTACATGGTCTAACCCCTGGTTTGGCTGTACATCCGCCCCTCATGGTCTTTCCAGGCAATGATAATACAGAAAATTGCTCTTACTAGGACGAAACATAGCATCTTTCAAAAATAAGACTTCATGTTAGGTTTTCCTTAGGTACGAGTAATAGCCCTAATTTATGTAAGAATTGAATAAACTAATTAATTGCCCCTAGTTCCTTTCAAGGTAAGTCCATTAGTGACAGATAAATCTATAGTGTTGGCAGCAAACTCCGACAACGATTGCGTCGGATTTCAAATAGGTCGGCAGAGAATTTCTGGGTACAATCCGGCGGTGGTCCGGCGGCCGATAGTCGACCTACCCGAGGCAGTAGTACTCCAATCCTATGAGTGTATTTTGGCCCAATCACATATCAAAAGTCACGTTTAAAACATTTTAAATTAGTGTGTCATATTTCTAAAAAAATGGATGAGTTTGACACATATTTGAGGACTTCTCCCATGAAAATATGGTGACATTGTTATCGTCTCACACCAATTATCCAATCATAACTTAAGCCATAATGTGTGCTTCTATTTGACTACAATATCACACAACTCACAAGAGAGGTGATTTTGATGAGCGGTGATTCTCATTCGATCGCCTATTCGCCTAGGCTTATGTTTTCCTACGTGGTGTCTAGTGAGTCAAATTGTTTGTTAGTAGGGGCTACGAAATTTTGTAAATTCAGGACCTGAAATATAAATGAACTATCAATTCAAGATATGAAGATGAAATGTATTGATAACATGATCCGAATGATTGAAAAGTATCATTTTAGGGCCTAATTTGTCATGAATTCTATTATTATTTTTATTTTAAAGCTTTAAGATATTATTTAATTTTTTTAAACCAATAAATTTATGTGAAGAAAATTTAATAAAAAATAACAATGGAGTTAACGAAAATTAAATAAATCAAAACATATGGAATTTAAAGTTCTTGATTGATACTTTTCAACCGTTCGGGTCCTAAATTGACACATTTTATCTTTCAGGTTCGGATTGATGATTCATCTATCTTTAAAGTCCTGAAATAATAAAAGTTAACCATTTGAATTTGAAAGGTGTTGAAAATTGTAGTTAACCATTTGAATTTATTCATTTAACTATTTGATTTAGAGTTTATTATCTCAAGTTAAGAAAACTTTTGTAGAACTATAATGAGTCCTGAGTGAAGTAGATTCATTTGACTACAGTATGAAATAACTATTCAAAAATCTGAAATTACTATAGAAAAAACATACTCGTCCTTTTTAATAAAAACAAGACGAATTTTAAATATATGTAAGTTGATATTAGCTTACAAGAAATGAAAGAACTGGATTGAACCGTTTATAACGTTTCAAATTAATTCTGTTCATTCCAGAGCTATCCAGTAAAGCAAGCTGAAGTAGTTAACATAACTACCTGAATAGATAGAATATGACCATTCAAACCTAGTTTATTTTGGATAACAAATAAACTTAGGAATAGGGATGGATCTGGGCCGGGCCGGTTCCGGTTCGGGCCTGGGTCCGGCCGGGCCTTTTTTTGGGAAAGGATGAACCGGAACCGGTCCGGGTAGGCGGCGGATGCGGGCCGGGCCGGTTACGGTTCAATTTTTTTTTTGATTTCTTATTTATTTCATCCCCACCCGCCCATCTCCACCCACCCCCCAAACCCCACGGAAATACCCAGCCCAGCCCAACTAAACCCAGCTCAAACCCCAAAAAAACAAAAAAAATAAAAAGGCCCGAACCGGGCCCGATCGGACCGGGCCGGTTCGCCTTTTGCTTGAACCGTGAACCGGAACCGCCTAACCCCTCGGGCCTAGGCCCGAACCGGAACCGGAATCGGTTTCTCGGGCCGGTCCGGTTCTAAACAGTACTGAGCCGGTTCGGTTATTTTTTCCTACTTAGGAAGGTTGTTATTTTTCTGGTTGAATTGGTCCATCTAACCACTTTAGTTATTTTTCCATTTATTTACTTTCTCAATAAAATATTATATAAATATAATTTGTAACAATTCACCAAATTCAGCTTCTTCAAATTTGAACTTCATCAAATTCAACAGATTCAGCCGATTCAACCAATTTGAGTGTTAACATAACAACTCTAAGATTGTCGTATATCAAATATGATAATGTTTGTGTGGCTCTAAACCATGTTTTCTTTATTATTAATCTACTGATTCAACATTAACCACATAAATTCACATTTTCTAACAATCACACCATCGTATATAATGTTACGAGATGAAAATAATACGGAGTATAAAATACTCCCTTCGGTCTTAAATAAACTTCACACTTTCTATTTTGGGTAGGTCCAAAATAAACTTCACACTTCTTCTTCCTTCCTTCCTTTCTTCCTTATTTGGCAAATTATCTACATCAAAACAGTGCAAAACAATGCCAAACAGTGTCACAACAGTGGACTCTATAGTAAAGTCAAATTTATTTCCTTAATTTGTGTGAAGTCGAAGTGTGAAGTTTATTTAGGACCGGAGGGAGTATGAACGAGGCTACTAAAATGTTGTGCTTCTAAAATGTGTAAATTGTGTGACATGAAAATCTCTTACTAGTATAAAACCCGTTTGGTAATATCCAGATCGGCTGTATTGGTTGATTTTGCTGAAAGTTCTGGCTGAAGTGGCAGGATTGACTGATACTGCTGATTTATGAAAAAATTATTTTTAAAAAATATTTTATTAATTAAATTAAGAAAAAATTATATGACAAAATAGTTAAAATGATTTCTCTACAATAACTTCAGCTAATACCTATGCATCCTCCTTATGCTCACAATCTTCTTCTGGAATCACTACCTAAAATGAGGAAAGTAACGGTTAGTTCTCAGCTTATAATGAGGTTATAAATCACATGTTATCAACTTTCTCTTTCAAGCATATTTGGAATCCTAGTGAGGAACTTAAAATCAAGCTGTTGCAATGGAAGATTATCAAAGGCATTTTGCCTTTCCCAGAGATTCTAAACAAATTTCACTTTGTGCTTAACCCTTTTATTTGCTCTATATGCAAGAAAAATGGTGCCTCCTTGGACCATATTTTCCATCAGTGTAGTAGGGTGAGACCTGTTTGGATTTATTTTTTGAGCTTGTCGGGTATTCCAGTGCCACCTGAGAATAGCCCTATTAATCATGTTTTCATAAATTGTTGGCTCAAAGCAGGTTCTTTAGATCTTTTGGATGTGTTTAAGCACAACATTTCTGGGATCATTTCATGGCATATATGGAAAATCTATTCTAATTATCAATGGAGAGAGGGCAACACTAATACATCTACTGAAGGTATCATCCTCTCTATTAAACATTACACGCAATCCTGGGCTCAATCCTTGCAGAAAATCAAGTTTCGTTCGGTTGATAACATTCTGTATGACGAACATCTTATACGAAATGATTTTCGAAGAAAGAGTTACAATCTACAGATTCTAAAATGGCGGAAGCCTAGTGAGAGATTGAAAATGAACACTGATGCTCGTTTTATACCTGGTCAAGCTTCGGGATCGGAGGAGCCATCTTAAGGAATAGACATGGAGAAATGGTACGTGCTGTAAGCTTTGACATCAATGCCTCTTCTGTTCTGGAAGCGGAGCTGCATGCCATACACATAGCGCTTCGGTGGGCGGTGGAGGAGAGCTTTTGCGATTTTGAGATTGAGACTGATTCGGAGTTGGCGATACAGTTTCTTCTTGACCCTAATGTACGCAGGTGGCGTGACCTAATTCAGGAAACCTTACAGATCGCAAATAGGAAAGGTATTTCCTCTCGACATGTATTTAGGGGGGTTAATGGGGTTGCTCACTCTTTGGCCCAATCTCACACGGGCCCAACAAAAATTTTCAGGGCATCGGCCAATTTACCTCTTTTAGCTAAGCGGGCTTATACTATGGATTTATTCGGTATTTCTTCTTTTCGCATTCATTAATTTTTTATCTGTTTCTTTTACGGGTCAGGTCTAGCCCCACGGTTTTTATTTGTAAAACTTATTATTTCAATAAAATTCTGGTATCTGACTCCCGACATTTACCCCACTGATTTTGGTGGTTTGCCTTCCGAGATAAAAAAATAACTTCAACCAATACAGCTAGAAAACTAACTCTAAACTTATTTTTCTTATTATTATACAATTCAGATCACGAAATCAAAAGTTGTGTGTTTGGTGAAAAAAGTTGTCTAATAATACGAAATACAGGGTCACCAAACGACTCACAATGTTAGACACTTAAAACAAAATTACATTATCCTTTATCCAAAAAAAGGATGACACCCCATTCGTTAGGGCCCCAACCTTGACCAGACAGTACGGTTGGAGGATGTAAATTGAACTATTATCCTTTATCAACAATGCTAATGCTATGGAGTATATAGAGAGTATGTCTTTAAAATTTACTAATTTCAAACCATCACACCCCTGGAGAGTCGGTGAGAGCTTTTACTTTACTAATTTCAAGCAAATTTTGGTGTTTAGTAATTTTGGTGTTAAAAGAAAATTTACAGTAACGTGATTCACGACAGTCACGGGTCACTCAGAAGAGGAAAAAAAAAGGTTGCATCAGGTTCTTCTTCATCTCTAATTGGTTTAAAATCCATCAGCCCTCATAGACCGCCCTGGAATCCTCCATCTTCCATTTATATCTATGCAACCTCCTCTCTCGAGCCGAACTCGAATTCAACCAACACATCTCATTGTATGCGTTAGGGTTTTGTACCTACAGTACTTCTTCCTTCATCTCCTTTCTTCCCCAAACTCAATCCCTTCCAACGAATCTCTTCCAGCTTCTGAATCCGCGGAGATTGTTCAAGCCATGAAGGTTCATCCAATGCCCAAGAAGAGAAACATCACGGTCCGGTACGACATCGCGTCGGCTCTTTCTCAGGCGGAAACGGTCGGGTTCCGGCAGAAGAAGCTCCGGCGACTGCCCCACATCTTCGCGAAGGTCCTGGAGCTACCTTTCCATTCCGACGCGGATGTATCGATTGAAGAGACTCACGATTGCTTCCGATTCATCGTTCCGACTGACCACGTCACCGGGGGTAATATTAGGGCTCACGCCATCCAGATCCACCCCGGTGTCACTAAGATTGTAATCCGAGGGGACAACTTTGTTGACTGTCCTCTTAGTGACCTCGACCTCGACCTGTGGCGGTTTCGGCTCCCGCCATCGACTCTGCCCGGCTTGGCCAGCGCCGCGTTTCGCGACGGCGAACTGGTGGTCACCGTCCCTAAAGGATCGCACGAAGAGGAAGACGAGGAGGACGGGCGGCTTGTATTTGTACAGTAATCCTTCAACAATCAGTTGTTTCTGTATCAGTCCTTCCCATGGAACAATACATTAATTACTCGTATATTATTATTCTGGTAGAAATGGAACGTCACTTTTCTTTAGTTAACTAATATGATGATATATGCTTTACCTGATAAAATTTCACAATTTCTGCTGTTTCACTTGTGCATATTCCAGCGTCTCTGGCTTGCATCTTCCGCTGCAGGTAGGTAATTGGGTTCAAGTAGTTTGCCACTATATACGATCAATTAGTGTTTCATTTCATCTTCAGGTCCAATTTTTGATGCTTTAGTGTATGGTTTTTGAGCTTTGAGTAATAGTTGCCGAGTTTCTGCTGTTTACTTTGAAGCTATGGAGATTATGTCAATCATTTCAGTCAAATTAATGCAAGCTAAAGTGTTATTTGGTCGAGTTTGTTGAATCTAATCTTGCATATGGTCGAAGAAAGAATGGCATTTCTAAAAATTCATATTTTAGGCCAGACAAGTAAATCAACAGTTGCTTACTTCTGATTATTCTGGGTATTTCTGCTTATTTCATCTATAAGCAGATTTGTCAACCTTTGTTAATCTACCAAACTAAGGTAGAAAATTTGGTTAATTTGTTTACTAAGCACTCTCTAAATTGTACATAGCCAAAACCAGAGTCATCTTTCAAGAGAAGATAATGAAGAAGAATGTTTGATGAATTGATGATTCTCATTAGTTGGAGCAATTTCAGACATGTTTCATAGTGGCGTACACCTAGAGCTTTAAAGCTTTTCCTAAACTTTATTCATTCTGTTTTGTTGAAGATGATAATTTGTGTGTTTTTAACCTTTATGTCGATAGCAAGGATCAGTACTCCGTAGTCCGTACTTTATAGGCTTGTAGCTGCTGTGATGGACCATTAGTGTCAATTTAATGGTCATTATGGAATGTAACCCAGATTCTTTAGGATAACCGTACATTATGTGCGTGAATTTCCCTTCATTCATTTCAGCTGATTGAGAGACGTGAAGTTTTATTAGATATTGCTGATTCAGCAAATGCTTATCTAGTATGGAAAATGACATTTATACCTATTGTAGACTTTGTAGTCAGGTTATTAAACAATTACGTAGAACTGCGTATTTATCTATGAAATGATTCAATGAAGTCCAAAGACCAATTTTAATGGACTTGTTTCAGTCTCATTTAAGACTGAAATCAGATTCAAAATTTCAAACAAATCAAGCTTAGATAATTACACATACACCAAGTGTCTAATAGATCAGACCGCACATTTCAGATATAAACAGATCATGATTCATAAATTTCAATTCGATTTATGATATACTAGAATATGTAAAACAAATATAGTATGTGAACAAATATTAGTTTGCATTCTCGGAACGCTGCACATATATGCATTCTAAGAGCATCTTAAATAGTTTATTTTAAGGATCCGCTTGCAATGTTAAGGGAAGAGGGTCAGATTGACCCGTCTACTATTTTCAAACCATCATCTAAGTCCATGTACTAAAAAGCTCTTTCGGTCTAGCCATATAATCGGTTTTTGACTTGTAATAAGAGGTTTTTTGTATTACTCCCTCCGTTTTTATTATATCTTCTAACTTTCCTTTTTCATCTGTTCCAATTAAACTTCCACTTTCCCTTTTTGGTAAATAGTTTGTGGTTCACAACATTTCTTACACATTTTTCTCTCATCTGCACAACTCTCCACCACAAAATACCCACTTTTTTTAAATTATGTGCCAAAGTGAAATAGAAGATATAATAAGAACGGAGGGAGTAATAAAATTCTAAAAAATTGTTTAAATCTTTTCTAAATGTCTAAACAATTTCTGACATTTAGTATAAATAAAATACCTGAACAATTTCAAAATGTGAAATTCAATAGTTTAGTTTTATATTCTACATCTTTTTAAATTTTTCAGATTTTATGTTAATGTATTTTACATATTAACTTTTTTGCATTATTCTGATTCTTTACTTTTTTATTTTAACATACTTAACCTAGTTATCTTTTTTCTTCATTTTTACGATTTTATATATTACTATTACATAATTTTTTCAAGTTATATGAATATTTATAAGATTTATTAATTTTCCTAATTTAATTTTTCAAAATAACATGCTATAACAAGTCAAAATGACTTGAATGACTGTATTTTCAAAGTAACAATATGATGGTTTTTTTAGTACACAGACTTAGGTGACGAATTTGAAACAGTAGAAGGGTCTATTTGACCTTTTCCCTCAATTTAAAGCTAATAGCTTATCATTGAATCACATTTCTTTTTGCTAAAGAAAGCTGATTAGCCAAAATAAGTTACTAGCTTAAGGGAGGAGAATTATTAAGTATAATATTATTAACAATAAATGAAAAAGAAGAAGCTATAGCTAAGTAGGAGTACATTTTAATTTTCCTGCAAATGCTTGTGTGACTAGTCAAGCCATAAACGTAATTAGCTAACCACCGAAGATGTTCACAAAGTGGACTTCAATGTGGTAATTAATTTCGTATGAATCCACCACTAATAAACTAAAAGTATTCATAAGTCTAGTTTTGAACAAAATGGACTTCATTAAGTCTAGTTTATTCATACTAAATTTCAGCTAAAACTTCAATCGGGAAGACATTCAAATGAATTCCTGAAGGTAACTGTGCTTTTACCTTTTTCTTACTCAATCACAATCATACATTTCCGTTTTATTCTCACTTTCTTAAACTCCAATCCAAATTCTAATTAGAACTATTTTTATGAGACAAAGGAGTATAAAATATATAGAGACTAGATATTTATCAAATCAAACCAGTTTACATTAAATCAGATAATACTAGATCAGAAAATTTTAATTCTGGTACGAGTATTTTTGGTATGGGAGTTGGACAATGGCCGGGCGTACGTCTTCATTCATCCTTTAATCGAAGGAGCGTACGTAGCGAGACAAGTGTACTACATCCGTCCCGGAATTATCTCCTTATTTGACTGGGCATATATTTTAAGATAGTGGGAAATGTATGGTGGGGAGTTGTGTAGAGGAAAGAGAAATGTGTAAGAATGTGTAAGAATTGTTGTGAATCACAAATTCATTGTCAAAAAGAGAAAGAGGAGATAAATTTGGGACGGACCGAAAAGGAAAGTATGAAGATAATTCCGAGACGGAGTAAGTATTATTTTTGCAGCACAAAAATTGGTAAGGATCTAGATTCAGTATTTTGTCTGATCTTTTGGATGGGTAATAGTGTTTCATGTTCATTGTTTGTGTGCTTTCACTCTCAACACCGCATAATAATGTGTTCCACACCAATTATGGAAGGGTGCTTGATGTGACAATTGGTTGGGGAAGAAAGGGAATCCCATTTTGGTGTTATATGTTTTTATAAATCTTTCGAATAGGCAATTTCTATCGCTTTGCTTTTGAGCCCTATAATATGAATATGTTCCTTTCCCAAGTCCCATCTCTTTTGTTTGCACTACGCCATGAGTAGCTAGATTCTAGTTATCTAGTACCGGTCGTCGCCAAGAATGGTTTTATTTTGTATAGAAAATGTTGTTTGGACAGGAACGTCCCTTTATTATAGGTCCATATCCTCCGGCTGAGATCTCTCTTAATATTGAAATATTAACAAATAAATTGTATCTCTCCTTATTTGAATGATTTTGTACTCCCTCCGTCCCTTAAAACTTTGTCATCTTACTTTTTTGGGACGTCCCAAAAAACTTTGTCACTTTTCCTTTTAATCAATTATTTTGTGGTTTCTTTTATTTCTCTCTCCTCTGCACAAACCTCAAACACACAGTTTTTACTTTATTATTCTCCGTGCCGGTCAACTTTGGCAAAGTTTTAAGGGACAGAGGTAGTATAATTTTGTCAAGTTTTTCTCTGCAATGTCAAGCAGAATGTCAACATCTAGACGATCTTCTTAACATTGTGAAGAAATATTTACCAAAGTTGTATACAATCGTTCAAACAAGGAGAGAGATTCCTTATCTTCTACTACCTCCATCACGGTGGACTTTGTCAAGTGCAAAGTAGGTGAGAAATAATAATAGTAAAAATCGTGTGGTTGAAATTTGTACAAAGGAGAGAGAAATGTGCAGAACCACAAATTAGTTGCTTTAATAGGAAAATGTCAAAGTTTTTTGAGACAATCAAAAAAGGAAAGTTAGCAAAGTCCAATGGGACGGAGAGAGTAATATTTTTGTGACTCTCTCATGACAAATGTGCACCGTGCACATTGTAGCATTGAATATGCTCTCAGGAAATTGAATCTAGATCCTTATCATATAAAATTGGAATGCACAAATTTGATACATAGTACCAAGTATTGTTTTTCCCCTAAAAATGAAAAAAACAACGTATTATTAACTCATTATCCGTGACAAACATATTACTCCGTATATGCTACACATATATCAATTTGAGAAAAAAGGGGCAAATAAGCCCACGTACTAACAAAAAAGGTCAAATAAGCTCCCTTATATATGAGGATCTTTTCGGCCATCGCCATTTGGGGAAGTTTTTGGTAGAATTTTTTGATGAAAGTTTTTGAAAATCTTATTCATTAAGTCTAGTTTACTCATACCAAATTTCAGCTAACAATTCAATTAGGAACGCATTCAAATAAATTCTTGAAGATAACTGCACTTTTAACTGCGCAGTTATCTTCAAGAATTCATTTGAATGCCTTCCCGATTGAAGTTTTAGATGAAATTTGGTATGAGTAAACTAGACTTAATGAATAATATGCTCAAAAAATTGCATAAAAAATTTCCATCAGAAACCTCCCCAAATGACTACGGCCGGACATAGCCTCCTATATAAGAGCTTATTTGACTTTTTTTTGTTAGTACGTGAGCTTATTTGCCCCTTTTCCCTCAAATTAATAACCCTCTAAGTCTCATTTGAATAGACAATTATCTCACATACTCACATGAGTTATTCAACTTAAGTGTTGTTTCAAAATAGTCTGGCCTTTTGGTAGACTGAATTTCTCCTTCCTAAGATAGTAAGATTCATTTTTTAGTATCTGTTTAAAGGTCATTATGGACTGTAACCCAAATTCTGTAGGATGACCGTACATTATGGCTATCATAAACACACTCCCTTCGGTCCGGAGACATTATCTCATTTTACCTTTTCGGGAAATCCCACTAAGATTTAATAGAATGTTATTTAGGCATATTTGTTTCCTTATGTCTCAAACTCTTTTATTATATATATTCAGTCCAGGACTCTCATGGTATCAAGAGCTTAGGTTTTTTTTGGGAGAACTATCAAATAAGCCCTCGAACTTTCATAAAAAGTGCAAATAAGCCCTTTTGCAAGAGGCTTTGTTCGCCTGTCGCCATTTGGGGCGGTTTCCGATGTAATTTTTTGATGAAATTTTTTGAGCATTTTCTTCATCAAGTCTAGTTTACTCATACCAAACTTCAGCTAAAAGTTCAATCGGGAAGACAGTTAAATGAATTTTTGAAGATAACTGCGCAGTTAGACAGCGTAGTATATTTCATAAAATCATTTGACTGCCTTCTTGATTGCATTTTTACCTGAAATTTGGTATGTCGAAACTATACTTAATGAAAAAGATGCTTAAAAAATTTCATCAAAAAATTCCACAAGAAATCGCCCCAAATGGCGACATCCGGACAAAACCTCTTGAAAAAGGGCCTATTTGCACTTTTTATGAAAGTTCGAGGGCTTATTTGATAGTTTTCCCTTTTTTTCCGGCTGCCTCCTTCCCTTCTTGCTTTTGCCGCAGCCTACAATGGATACTACCGCCACCGCCACATCTACAGTCACGGCGGTTTCCTCCTTCATTGGGCCTGAGTCTCTGGTTCCGCCCACCTCCTCGATGGACTCGCCTCCTCTTTCTGCTCCAGTTCTCTCGAGTCTGTACTACTCCGGCGCTCTTCAGCCTTCAACGATGCCGCCGACCTTCTCTACTCCACGGCCAGATCCGTCTTCTTCTCTCTGGATGCCTCCACACCCGTTTCCTATCTTCAATGGCCTCCCGCAGCAATTAAATTGGCCCCAGACAGTTCCTCCGGTGGTTTCTCAGTCCTCACCGCCGACCCCAACTCCCTTCTTTGGGCCGTCTTTCGCTGGATCACCGGGTATCACAC